TTTTTTGAAAACTTGATTTTAGTTTGAATTGAAAGAATTGCAAAAAATGATAATTTATGTTTCAGTTTTTCCCTCTACGGACATACATAGATGAATATGAAAAAGATCATTGAAATTTCAGATACTATATGCAATACTTTCTGATATGCTAATAGTTCCTTCGGATTCATTATTTTTTAATCTATTTAATGAATCAAGAATGCTGAAGACTACACAAATGAATCATGTTTTCTCTCTATGGAAGTTTAAAGTTTTGGATTAGCAGATGTTATATGAGATCATGTTTAGAAATTTATCAGATTCGCGCACTGAGCTGTCTTTTTTTGCTTGGGTTTGATTCGAATAGTAATCTAATCTTTTTTCTACTTTCTCTATTTTATTAATGTACGACATTTGGTTATATAACAAACAGAAAATAGTTCTTCTTCAAATTATACACAACCTACATACAGTCTGGCATATACTGCGCTGTAATAGTGAAGGGGTGTACGTAATCTGCAGACGTACCAAGAAAAATTCGAGACCCTTTTTTTCCAAAAATTGTTCCATTCCCGTTTGTTCCGCGTCCAAAACTTTCTGAACTGTCTCGCAAGACACTAGTCTTAATTGACTTGTTTTCATAATATTAGATAGTAGAGGAGTCTGTATCGATGTCATTCAAGTTACACAACTAATTTGTCTGTACCGATCGTTATTTTTGAGACGGTGTGTGGTTAGAAAAAAATCAACGTCTTATCAATTCAAATTATCTGAACGATGAAACTAATTTCGAAATATATTATGAAAGCTCATGGAAGAGAATCTATTTCTTCCATCGATGCAAGTGTCGATTCCAACTCAACAGTAAATTTGATTTCTGTACGGCGGATTCGAGATTCTTCTATTGAACCAATGTATATCTGGATGTATCAGTCAAATATCGATTCATGGGATGATACTCAAACTGCTGAATGGACACCGTATCCTGATGATGTATCAGCGGTGATAGAAAAAGCGTTCAATGCTGGTCTTGGACACATATTCATTGACCAATGTTATAAGATAGATTTAGAAAAACTCGTTCAAGTCAATATTGAAGATGTACATCGACAACGTCGTATTCGACGACAGATTTGTATGCTGTATGTCAATAATAATGAGAACATTGAAGATAAAACTGGAATTCTTAAGAGACTATGTTTTCCCTTGGAAACGAGTCCACGAAACAGCACAGCGATTGATACACTATATCGTGGCTCACCATTTATTCGAGATTGGTTATTGACATTTAATTATGGCCAATTTGTTTTGACATTTGATACCATCTTTCCAGCCCTACTGAATGGTCTGAAGGATGAAGGTGAAAAAGAAAATGAGCAAAAAAGTATTATTAACGAGATTGTTCAAGAATTGAACGCTGTTCGAGACAAAACTTCTGAAAACAAAGAGCGCGATCGTATGAAAATGTTAGCAAATTGTTGTGCCAAACTGTACACAAAACACTGCTACATTTTTAGAGTTGTCAATACCGCTCTACGTGAGAATGATCGAGAAAAGCTTCACACTCTAGGTCCCTATTGTTATGTACTTTATAACTATGTTGGTCGTCCATGTGAAGATTTTTTTTCTATTCGTCGTTATTTTTGGCATAAATTTCATTCAACTGAATCGTCATCGGTGACTGTCTATCGTGGAGATTATATTACTAGTGAACGAATAGAAGAATACCGTCAGGCAGCTGGAAACAAGCATAAATATTTTAAGTGGCTTCCATTTGTTTCTACTTCACTCAAGCAAAATGTAGCTGAAAATTTTGGTTTCAATGTTACGTATGTAATTGAACTTCGACGACATTCATGCGATGATCAATTTACATTCTTAGACCAAAATACTCATTATAAACAGGAAGAAGAATTACTCTTGCGACCCGGAACACGATTTCGAGTAACTGCAGTACAATATGATAATCTTACTCGACGACCATTGATTTATATTAAAATTCTTCCAACATACGTGTCGCATCTCAGATGAACTCTCGATACTATATGGAGAAACAATATTTTCTCCAAGCGAAATGACACTTTCAGCACAAAAATTGACTTGCTTTGGCGAACTCACTTGACAAGCTATCAGATGACAAATGCTTTAACCACATCAATTATGTTTTTCTTAATTATTTATTTTCAGCCAAAATCCCAATAAATTATGCAGGATTTTCTGCCATTCAGTGTACTCTCTTAGGACTATTAGTGTAAGTGTGAGTAAATAGAAGAGTGAAGCCCACATTCACACCCCATCGATAGAAAAAGCGGCAAATTGTGTATAAGATACACTGTTTTCTGTTTTCTTAAGTGAATTACCAAAAATGTGAAAACATGATCTTGTGAAGTGGACGACTAGGTTATAACACAGATTTTCAATATTTTTGATAAAAATTTTTTGAGCAAAGTTTTTAATAAGAAATAACTACGCATTTTGTAGCGTACTTAACGTGCTTTCATATGAGATATAACTCAACTTTTTTGCACGTAATACGATTGAGAAAATCAGAGTTGAAGGAAAAAAGTAATTAGCCGCCTGGCTGTTCACTTTACGTCGGCTTGTCCAGTTGACGAGACCATGTTTTCAAATGCTTTGTAATTCACTTACGAAAACGAAAAAATAGCCTATCTTGTGCAGAATTTGACACCCTTTCTATTGATGTCCTTCGAAAAAGAATTATGTCCAGTCTTGATGTGAAAATCAGAAGCTTTTCTCACGAAAACAGACGTTTGTCAATTAATTTCTAGAAAAAAGATATTTCGAATATTTGTTCAAAACTACTAAGAGCTTGAAAGTCTTTTGTCAAAACATATATAGTCCTATGCAACTTTTCACTCTCTGTCCAACACTATACTCTAAATTTGATTTTGTTACATCAAAGAAGCGAAAATTTAGTGATAGTTTTGAGATTTAACTTTTGTACTATTTAATTTCTTAAACGGTAAGAAAATTAATATAGTCTTTGTCGACCTACTTTTTTTTTCAACACATACCTAAGTGTCTCTTCTTTCGAATGAATCCTCAAAAGAATCATTTGAGTTGGTAAAGTTAGCATTAATTCAATATTTTTAATTTTTAGAAGAGGGTCTTATAATTATGGGACAGGAAAGACTCAAATGTCCTTGAATTTATTTATAAATGCTAATTGATCGAATTCAAATCAATATGGCACATGAAAGACTGCAGCTATGTGTCCATGGATATGACATTAGATTGGGAATGATACCTTTTTAGTTGAAGAAATTTTCATTGTTCTCAAATTTTGAGACATCCAATATATTGAATAGTAGAATTTTTTAATTACATGCTCGAAACACTTTTCCAGACAGATCAACAGTTGAAACGAAAGAAAAATTTTCACGTACCAACTGAGTTGAAGATTCAATAGATACTATAGAAAGCCTCTCATGTACTAATGAAAAAACATTCTATGAAAAAAAAAAACACAAAGTTTTTATTAAATGGGTGCTCGTATGATACGAAGCGAGAACGTAACACACACACCCAGACCCTTTCGTTTTCTTATCTCGCATGTACTATCTACTTTATGTATAAGAAGCAAAAAAGTAACTTGAGCGATTATTCAGTTGGACGCAAAAAATGGTCCACTCTCTGACGATACAAAGAAGAGAACAATAAATAAACGGTAAAACATAATGAAAAGGTTAGTAAGTGCCTTTATTAGAAGTTAACTGTCCATGAAAATGAATATCTCAAAGAAGTCTTCGAAGAAAACTGAATTGCGTCGAATGTGTTAAAATGTTAATACAATAAAATAATTTTGAAATTGGGTATGGATGTGTAGTATGGGTCATTGAGGTTATGATGCTGTGCTGTGCGTATAAATGAACGATGGACTGAGACAAACGCTCACATCCACATCGTCACTTATCCTAGCCAGATCGAAATCCATATCGTGGTGGCTAGACAATTCTATTGATCGATTAAGATTAATGAGCATTTATCTAAATTCATCCTCACATCTCTGAGCTATTTAGATACAGAAAGCAAGACTTGATATTTATAAATGCATATTAGAAAAACAAGTCATTGAATATCATCATTGTAGGTTATTTCTTTGGCAATGAACATGTTGGTCTAAACCAGAAAAACAAAACATGTTTTAGAAAGCCAGATTTTTTTTTCGAAAAGTTTACAGTAACTTCTTGATATTACTGATATAGTTTCTATTACTTGATTTTCATTTATACAAATATATAACATTCAATAACTCTTATGAAAATGAATATCTTTACATAATAATAAATTATTACAATTCTTTTTACTCATCTTCTATGAACTGAGATGCAACCATATTCGAATTGTTCGTAGATATTGTTTCATAGTCTTTCGTTAGTATAGATGGAACAAATGAAATAAGATATCCAATAAGAAATAGCCATGAATTACTTGTTGACTTCATACAAATTCCAACGAAAGAAATAATTAGGCGTGGTAAAGCAAGAATGACTAAAACAAATGGAGCAATTACTAAATGCATATGTTGTTGAAATTGTTCACGCAATAATTTTTTATAAGTTTGATGTTTTTTTACAATTGTTCGTTGTCAAGTAATTATTACAATAATAGTAAAAGCTGATATAATATTGATGAAAAATGGAGTAAAAAAATGAAACATAAGTATAAATGAATTGAATGTTCGAAGATTGTTTGAATAACTAACAATACACCAAATTCTTTTCTCATCAACATCATCATCATTCTCATTTAATAGATGTCGATGAATAGGATCAATAATAGCTGTGCTAATAGTTATAAAGAAAATAATAAGAATAATATATTTAGCTATTTGTTTGCTTTTTTTTTTTATCAAAACTAGTTCCTTTGATTATAATAATTAATCTTTCTATAGATACACATCCATTTAACCATTGATTAATACTAATACCAATTCGTAGAAGAAAATCTATTGAAATACATTGAAAATATAAAAATGATTTATTTGTCATGTATGTTATTTATGCAATGATAAGTATCCAGAACTTAAATGCGAAAATAATCATAATGAGTAAAGTTATAACTGATGAAACAAATAAATAGAGACCACAACCATTTTTGCGTGTTTCTTTATTTTTAAATGTGATTATCGATAGAATACTATCAGTAATTCCAACTATAATCATGATCATTGTCAATGCTATACTGATTTGTACAATAGACGGTTGATATTTAATGTTTATATATGGTTGAATATAGTAACCTAAGATAGCATCGAGTGAAAGATCAAATAAATTTGAACTAAATTGACATCGTGCTCCATAAAAACACTTTGGACAAACACATATCGATGTTTGTGGACAAGTTGCATTATTTTGTAAACAATGTGCATCATTTTCACAATTACTTTGACCAAAACAATTGTGTTCAATTCCATGATTGAACTCAAAACAGTTCGTCAAACGTTGAGGATCATAATCATAACAGAAACAAAAATGAATATCATCGTAGAAACAAGATATAAGTGTTGAACGATTTTGACATGGCAATTGATAATATTTAATACGACGAAGAGGATGAAGTTCGACAATAGTCTCATTGAATATTTCACTTATATATTTACAATGATCTGATGGTGTAATTGTTCGAACTATAGTTATTGATGGATTATATTTGTTCTGAACAGTAATTAAATAGTAGTTATTATCGAAAAAATCAAGAAAAGCAACATGAAATGGATATGACCATTGAATAGTAATTGATTTTTGATTAGTAAGAATAGTTTTAAAAGTAGTACCATTTTCATGTGGACCATTATCAATTATTCGAATAAAATGAACAAACATTGTTTGTGGTAAAATAATATCTTTATGAAATGATAGAATTATTGTATTATCAACATTTTCACATCTTTCTCCACTAAATCCTTTTGGACAAATACATATAAATGGTTTATCAGATATGATATTTTCATCCGTAGGTATACATTCACCATTATTCAGACAAGTAGAATTTTGATTCATATAATATATTGTATTATGAAGTAAACATTGATAACCCCATTTATGAACAGGACAAATACAAATAGATCGATTATTTGATGATATACCAACACATAATGAATCAGATGAACATGTACATATATATGGAATAGTACAATATTTTCCTGACCATCCATGATAACATTGACAAAAACTATCATCATTTGGATAATTTAAATATTTAATACATTGACCATGTATACATGATTGATCTAAACAATTTTCTTTTGTATCATTTGTACGTGGAATATTAAGCTGAACAGCAATACGATGTACAGGTAAAAATGGATACTTAAGTGGAATTAAAAAACTTTTTCGATATATAAGTAAAATTTTTTCATAAATATCAATATGAATAAAATAATTTTTTGTTAAATTTTTTGGTCTAGTTGAATAAAGTAAATAAATATTAAATTTTGTTTGACAATCTCGAATATAAAGATAAGTAAGTTGTTGATATGAATGAATAATTCTTTCATAAGTATCATCAATAAGTGAAATAATCAATGCAAATAATGTTCGTCTAGAATCAGAAAATGTTTGAAATCGTAATGTGAGACTAACACGTTGATTTTGATATTGACACATATTACCATAAAAACTAGGTGGACAAAGACATGTGATAGTAGTTAAATTTTGATTAATATTTAACCAAATTCGTAATGGAAGGCCACGATGACAATGTTGCTGATACTGTTGGATAGTTGTTTGTCTGGTAGGTGAATGTAAGATAATTTCATTTCTATGTTGTTGTGTCATTTGATCACTTGAATTCATCAATTTACCAAGTGAAAAGAATACTAATGGTGGTTTATTGCTATCGACTTGACGTGCACAAAAGAAGTTTTCGACATCAGAACGAATATTTTCATAGTATTCATCACAAATAGTAAATTCTAGTGTGATATTTCGAGTTTTATCACAAAATTGTTCATCAGCTCCATCTTGACAACTACTTTCAACGCACAATTTTGCGGTACTAATACAATGTCCAATTGCATCAATGGTGCATTGAAAATTACCATCACTATGTTGATAATTATTTGATCGACATAATTTAGGTTCATCAGTACCACCAAGACAATTAATTTGACCATCATTCGCTTTTTCAAGAGGTAAACACATAAATTGATTTGTATAAGGTGAAACACAAATGTAATGATGTTGATGTGAACAATTAAATGATAATGATGATGAATAACAATCAACTTCATCAGCTCCATTAAAACAATTCCAAAAACCATTACATCGTGTATATGTATTGTTACATTTCCAATATTCACATTCTGTTTCATCTGTTTCACTTCGTTCATTAATGGTAACAGGTATTAATTCTGTAAAACCATCACAAATAGTTGTAAATGATATATGTTTTCTAATATAATGAATGTTTAGCTCCTCATCATCACAAAAACCATATTGATCATATCCACAATGGCACCATCTATCGTCAACTAATGCTGGAGAAATACAAATATTTTTTATCGTACATTTGAAAAGATCACCTAATCCGAATAATAGACAAGAACCATTAATTTGAATGCATTCTTCATCATCATTGTAATCGCAATCTGTAATAGTATCACAAAGTCGTTGTTTTGAGATACACTTTGATGAATTAATACATTTGTACATAGTTAAACTGTTACAACTTATAGATTTATTAAAACGAATTTTATTGCATTGAGAAAGATGTTCATATAGTGGTAAGACATACATATTGAACCAAATACCTCTACTGAGCTCGAACGAATTAAAATTTAATGGAAAATCTTCAGGACGACGACATGTGGCATTATTAAATGAAATTAATGATTTGTTTGGATAGAATCCATCACAAAGTTGATCATTGTAGCATATATAACTAGGTGATAGTGATCGAGCAGTGGAATTAATCATAACTTTTTTTAGTATAAATAAAGAATATATGACCAAAAGCAATTGTACCTGCTGGTACTTGTAATATATCTAGACAAGTCTGATTGATTATTTCTTTACATGTTCTTGTAGAGCAGTGAATATGACATCTTGAATTCAATCGATCATAAATGCCCGATTGACATTTAACTGCCAACCAACAATGATCAGATAATCCATTTGGTTTGTCATCTAACAGAAACTTTTCGAGTAATTTAGTGCGTTTGAAGACACATGAACTCGTCAATTTCACAATGCTTGGGTTATGATGCTTTGGACATGTGATATCTTCCATAGTAAATGTTGGTTCGCGATTATATTTGAAAGAAAAAGGACTATTCATCCTCATATCCCTCCAAATTTCATCTGTTCGATCAAGACATTCAAAACTATTATGATCGTCATTGAAAAATATTTTGGATATACATTGTCCATTAACACATTGCTATTCATTTTCTTCACAGTCGTTAACTTGAAGTTGCCAACAAAATTCTTCATCAATTCCATCGTGACAATCAATTGTTCCATCACAAATTTCAGCCCAATCAAGACATATCAATGTCGAACCTCGATTGCATTCTAAATGGGTATAGCATATCAAGTTTATGGGATTATATTCATTTTGATAAAACTTGTAAATGAATTCATATAATGATGAATTATCAGATACGTAATTATCTAATGAATATTGACATAATGGACCAAATCTTGGTAGTGTACAAGTTTAGAACAGTTGTGTTGCCATGAAAGATGATTTATTTGAATTTGAAAGATCATTTAAATAGAACTGATAACGTTCAACTACATCCATAGATGCTGACCAAAGATATAATTGTTGATTAGTAATATTTTGTTTGTAAAGTTGATTAAAAGTAAATTTTTGATCAAGATTATTTTCTTCAATATTCAATTCTGATAACCACTCAGTTAAACAATAAGAGACAATTTGATGAATATTTTTTTGTTTTTCAGTAGAAGCAAGTACATGAAGACAATCATGTTGAAATACAACATCATTCGTATTATTACTTATTCCATCTGTAAGATGAAGATTAATTTGAGGTGAAGCAATCACCAAATGTAATAGAATAAAATAGAGAAAATTTTTGACGAGGAACATCATCTAGACGTATAGCAATTCTAAATGAATGCAATGTAAAGAGTTTTATCTGTTATATATATATATGTGTTTCAAAAAATGTTGACTCAGAATCTTTTTCTATCAAAAATTATGGTTGATATCGTTAAGAGCAGTTTGTTCCTGCATCCTTTTTTGAAAATTTTTTACACCTATATGATATCATGTAGCACCATTACATCATAAATCGCATCTGGCATCATTTTAGATAGAAACAGATCTCAGAAAGGAACTGAATCTAATGTTTTATCTATCTTTTTCTGTTGCAAATGCTTGAGTAAATATTAGATTTAAATAACGTTGCTACTCACTGACATTATGATTAAAATAATTATTGCGTAGCAAAATAACTAAGAAAGAGAATGAACATGCTCCTAACGATGTAGTTATATAATTAAAATCGATTATAATTATTAATTATGCGATCATTTTCGAGAAACGATTGCACTCGACTCAAGAGATGAAATCAAGTATATTGTTTAACTAAAGATTATTTTTGAAACAAGAATGTCAATCTCAGCAATATCGTCAGATTCTTGTTATTCTTAAGCTTTACAAAGGGAAATGTGATACAAATAAAATCAAAAGTATGTTTTCTTTTTATCAAAAGAATTGGTATTTTAGATGAGAAGTTTTGATGTAGTATTTATTCTCTTATATACTTATTGAAAGAGAAAAAGAAAAAAACTTGTGTGTCAAAGTTAATGATCCACAATATTATGAAGAGAATTAATAAGACATATGTGCAAAAACAAAGAAGAAAAACAGATAACGAACTAATTATCGTGTTTCACATATATTAAGTTTTTTTCTTTGTTTGATCTAAAATGAAAGTTCAAAATTTATATGTAAAAAAAAACAAAAAAATTTCGAGTATACAAAAAAGTCAATATATGACGCTAACGTAGAATAATAATTATTAACAATTTTGAAATTTTCGTATTCAGTCAATATAACAATTACCTTTCCTGTTCTTTGGCCACCGATGTATCACATCCACATCCTCGATTGTTTACAATATTGTCTATTTATTTTATTACTGTCGTCTCTATGTACCACTTGTACATTTTCCAATGTCTTGTACAGATTATGAGCTTTCGTTTTGATCTAGCAACTTGATTCTTGTTTACAACGGCTAAGTGTATGACGAAGGCAAATATTTATGAAAATTAAATACTAATGAGCGCATTAAGCCTCTCAAAGTTAATCGACAGAAAAAAAGGATAACAGTTTACGTTTGTTTTGTTTTTCATTTGTTCATCTGAACAAAAACAATTCAAAGAAAATCTTTGTTTACCAATGAAAAACCCGTTTGGTGCGCTACGAAAGCGGCTCTAGAAGCACCTCATTTGGAGAAATACTTTCACAAGAAATTAGACTTACATCAGTGACACTAAAGGAACAGAGTTTTTATGTAACACCGTCAAGCAATGATGAAATCTTACTAGGAGCTTATACATATAGATAGAACATAGTAAACTACATCGAATGACGTGTGAACAAACTTTCTAGCTTCCGATTCTTTCGAAGCTATGGTAACAGAATGTGTCGAAAAGTGTGTGGGTGTCAATGTTGCTGTGAGTGTGTATGTGTATAAAGTAGAGGACGCCCACATCCTACTACTGAACTACTACTGAATCTGATTACAAAGAGGGGCTTATGTCGTACTGATTGGGGGGTGTGGATTTCGGAGAACATCCACATCCACCCTCACTTTCATATGTTTTTTGTAAGTTTATTTGTGAGTGACAAGAATGCCATTCAAGTGTGCCATACTAACCCTTTCAGGTAAATAATGTGTTTCTTTCTCAATTCATCACATTTATATTTGACAAAAGTGAAACTTCTATTTGGCCATATAAGGAATTCTTCTTCATCTGAAATATCTCGTTCACAGACAATCCGTTTTTCATCAGGAATGTCCCGTTGTTTTCGATCTAGATCAATAATCAACAATGTGTCACCAAATTGGTCAGCTACACGTCGATTTTTGCTTGTCGAAATGAATCCTGTAAATCTCATACAGTCCTTAATAAAATATTTTCGTTGTTCATCTGTTAGAAAGAGTCCACGATAGACAACGAAGCAATCTGGGATTTTTTCTTGATACTTCCGATATTTATGCAGTAAATAGCAGAATGGCCCTATTGTTTTCACTTGTTCAGGTGTAATATTTTTAAGATCACGAAGTACACGATTCGTCAATTTATACCAGAATGATTCTTTTGCATAGAGATAGACAAGAGTGTCACCAATAGTCGGTGGTACTGTAGAATAAGAAGGTAAATTTTTATCAGCATGATGTTTAGTATTCCCTAGTTGTTCAGATAACTATCGAGCCTCATGTTCCTTATCAAATGCAATTCCTTCGCTAATTATCCCTTGTATAACATCTTCAATAACATCACGAATTGTTTTTTTATTGCCATAAACTTCAAGATTAATAAATCGACCAAATATCATTGTTACTGCGCAAACATTCCGATAAATTAGCGGATAGTGTCTGGTTATCTAAAGATGTTGCTCGGAATGCTATCGGTGTTATCGGAAATACAAACCTTTCTTCTCTCACATGTATATTTTTTGGATCTCTGTCGAGTTGGACACGTTTTATTGGATGCTGTTTTTGAGTGTCATCTTTCTTATACTGAAGTTGATGTTTTAAATTTACGATATATCCACCATCCATTTCTACTTCCGATTTCTTAGCATTGTAAGCATCCTCAATTATTTCATTTTCCACATCTATGTACTTCATCCACTATTGCACAGAAGACCATGAATCATCAGCTGAATTCCAGTACTATTGATAATGACGTGAACGAAGAAGAACTGGTGCACCAGATGCAGAGGCCATCTTTATTTCTTCTGAATTATAAGTATTAAAAAATGCGTTTTTGTTTGAATATGTAAGTAAATGAGTTATTTGCTGTGTTTTGTTCTCTTCTTTATACTTCTATTCTTCATTCTTTCACAAAAACAAGAAGCTTCATTTGAAAAATGAATCGGTGTGCAGTACGATATTATCTAATAGAAGTTGTTTGATGTTCTTCGTCTTTCTTTCTGATTGCTTTTCTTCGCTGTCCTGTTCTGTAAACATTGATTAATAATCATATTCAGCGGCGCAAAAAGAAAGGCAGCAGCAGACCTTGAAAGACACAATGAGGGCATAATCATTTTTAGAAAGTGATTGTGCGGTGCAAGTAAAAATGCACATTTTTGCGAAGCTTTCAGTTTCATAAAAGCGCAACCGTCAATGATGTTGTTTTTCTTTCATAAGCAAAATTCGAAAAAAACTTTTAAAAAGTTTTTGGAAAGACTATGATTGCTTTTTTGCAAGTAAAAACTTACAACATATAAAAGGCTAAAAAAGCAAGGCTCACCGTTAAGTTTTTACCTACACAAACTATCCAAAACCGTTCCAAAACCTTTTTGAAGAGTAGTTTTTCCTAGGTTATTATTAGCACTCTTATTTTTATTGGGATGAAGGACAAAGCTTTTGTCGTCGATAGGTCTTGCAGCTGAAGAATTTAGGTGTGGATATGGGTGTGAGTGTCACAAAATGTCCACACCTACATCTCTTTCTTTTCTTTTTTTTCTAGGTGAATTGTGGGATAGGTATAGCGCTTATGAAAGTGTTAAGACATATAGGCTACTTTGACCACTGTGTCTCGTGTTTGAAGGCCAACAAATGAATCGAAGACGATGAATATATACACGAGAGATCTCAGATTCATTGAAAGCATTCCATAATCGCTAAACAACCAGATCAGGCAGAACGAGCGTCTTATTTACAAGAGAAAAGAAAAATGAAGTTGGAGTGAATGAGAGAAAATCAGAATATGTGGAAAATTACTTGACCAGATTTTGATACCTCTTCACCGCCTTTTCGTGGTTTATCATTATCCGCTGGAAAAGAGAGAAACGCTCAAAAAGTACTGAATTCTTTAGGCGATATTTATGACACACATTTTTCTGGACAAAAATTTGACTCGTCTAATTTCCTTCATAGAAGATATTCGACAATTTATACTCAAATCACATATACATCAAACATTCCACTCGAGCGAGTTACATATGAAGAGGTTTCGACGGAATGGAAAAAGTTTTTACCAAAGAAGTGAACAGACAGTACTGAAACATCTGCTTTTTTACTGAAAAAAACACTCTATAAAGTATTTAGTGTTTCTTTATCTAAAGATGTAACATATCCTGCTTAAAATGGTGTCGAGTAAAAAATATATATACAATGAACGGTCCAGTTTCTCATCAGTTACTAATATATTCGAAACTGGCATATAAATCTTAGTCTATAGAATAAGTAAAAGAATTAATATGTCTACGTATTATCATTACAACTAAAGTTAGTTGAAGTGTATATATATATTTGAGAAAAAGAAAAGTGTAAGAAAGGTGTTTATAGAAAAATAAACGTTATTTTTCGTATAGTATCAAAAAATGATATTAAGGGTGGATGTGTATGTAGATTTGTGGATGTGAGGAGATAAATTACAAACATGCACATCCCTGAGGTTACAGAACCAATAAACTCGTGGATCTTGTGGGTGTGGGTACGTATCGGTGCGCGATTCACTTTCTATATCTAAGCGTCCCATCATCTTTTAATATACTTCGACTCACGCCTACATCCATATCCTCCTCCGTTTCCCCTTGGGGCAGTCACAACAAATATTATGATCTTTTTTGAGTAATGCACTTGTAAATTTACTAAGATTCGGTTTCTGTAACATTGGATAGACATGATTACTCGTCATACTTTCTACTTCTACTGACTGAGTACTTACAATAGTCATTACTATGAAACAATTAGATATATTAATTTGATAAAGATGATCATTGTAGTTCTTATTAATCAATAGTATGGACAAAATATGTAGGAAGATGAGCTTAATAAATGTTATGAGTTTGAAGGTATGTTTATTTCGCATATTGGTAAAAACAAAAAGTAAGATCAGGATCACGTC